TTGAGGGTTACCATTTTTAATTGTCTGATTCTTATCTTTTCATTTTTTGATGTTCTCATTCTCTCCATATATCCCTTTCTTAACTGTAAGTTTCAATCTTTTGCCTTTTTTTTTTTTTTTTCTTAACATATTTTAAAACCTGTGCTTTTGCCATGTACAGTTGTTTCTTTACTGCTCATAAGTTAATGCTTACTTTTCTTCTTTACATAAATTTTGACCTTTTCACTTCTTTGTTGGAGGAATTTAACCAAGCCTGTGTTTTTGCATGACTTTTCTCACTGTCCTTTGCCTTATCAACTGTATTCTTTGCGACAGATGTAGGAAAGTTATGAATGAGAATGAATATCTTCACTATGAAAGGGATGTATTTGAATTGGTTTAGATTATATCTTTGTCAGATGTACATGTATTTCTGATGAAGATATTGATGTCTTAGATATCACTGTGTGTACATACCTGCGAAGATATCACTGAAACCGGTGTGCGAAGATATTTGGTGCGAGTCAGATACATGTCTTACCCTGCGAAGATATCATTGAAACCGCTCAGATACATATTTACCCTGCGAAGATATCACTGAAACCGGTCAAATACATGTCTTACCCTGCGAAGATATCACTGAAACCGGTCAGATACATGTCTTACCCTGCGAAGATATCACTGAAACCGCTCAGATACATGTCTTACCTTGCAAAGATATCACTGAAACCGGTCAAATACATGTCTTACCCTGCGAAGATATTCATTCTCACTCATACCTTTTCTGCATCTCATGTATCTCATGAAATTCAAAATACATCTCTGCATTTTGTGTGTAAATTAATCTTTTTGCTCATACTAGGCTCATATGTCATACAGCCTTGCTGTTTCTCGGCTGTTCAGCCAATCTTTTACTTTGTAGTATTTAGTTGAACCCTCATTTCCAGGCAGCACAAACAGCAGATCGTGACAACCCTGACGACACTCTTCAACGGGGCAGAGGTGGTGGTGGAACTGGTGTATGCTGGCCAAAGCATCAATCAGACGGTCGTTCACATGCATGTCTTGCAGCCACTTCCAAATGGTAAGAGGTTTTACAGGTATTTTTATATATATCCTTTTATATATATTATATATATATGTCCTGCCAGTGTGATGCTGTATCGGGGCTTGTGATTTTTAAATTGTTATTGTTAGTGATGGTAAACATGTAACTTTTGCTTTTGCCATTTTCCTCATTTTTTAATTTAATATAATAATTATTCATTAACCCACTAACGATGGGTGTCCCACATATGAGACACCCGAAAAAATAAACATTGCCGGGGTGTCCTGCCAGTGTGACGCTGTATCGGGGCTCGCGCTCCGACGCAGCAGCAAGCTGGCGGGAGTCCGGGGCAGCCCTGCCTGCCGATTTTGTAGCCGCCCAGCTTCAAAATATACTGGCGTTAATGGGTTAAGTGGACCGTCCCGGAAAATGGCCATCTTTCCCTACTCACTACATCATAAAAAAATATTGGTTAGAGATAACCGTTTGATTCTTTTCGCATGATGTAGAGCATAGAATTTTTTCAGGATTAAAATATTATTATTTTTTGATTAAGGCAAAAATCCAAAAATCAGCTATTTACACGGCCTTAGGACTCCGAGGCTCTAGTGAAAGCAACAAACTGCATTTGAATCGTACGAAAATTACGAAAGTTAGGATGTACCGAAGGTTAAAAAAAAAAAAAAAAAAAAAAGATACAGCGTATTATATTTGGCACCTTGCCAAATATAATATAATACGGGAGATGGTCACTGGGTGTTTATAATTTTCGAGGAGGATCATATGTAGGTGAACGCATGCACACAAAGTTAAAAAGATTAATCATCCTCATTTAGTAAGCCTACATTGACTTTCATGACTAAATAATAAAATATATTAGTTATCCCTCTCATACCGTTTTCTTCGATAATTGTCAATATTAACAGATTGCAAAGGAGAACAAGTGTAGAGTTTATGATTAGCCATTTGCACCCATTATCTTTACTGATAAATGCATAAAATCATGCAGACGCCTAGGTGTGGTGGCATATTTGCGAATTTATGGTACCTAAGACCTACGGTAACATCTGAACTTATTAATTTTTATCGCGAATGCACAAAACAAATGTGATAGCTTTTTGAACTCTAGACGAAGAGTGCGCATACAAATGAGCTCAAAATTCCATATAGTTTTTATTTCAGAGCAGGTATTACTGAGTACTATCATCTTCAATATGAAATAATCAGTATCTTGCTAATACATCTGAAGTTCAAAAATCCAACATTAAGGTAACGTCCGTATTGATTCGGCCTTTACAACGGTAACAACCAATTTCAAATCAAATCAAATTTACCCATGCTGTGATGTACTGACCGTTGAGCGAAATGTAACGGAAATATTTCAATCCTTACTTATAAGGCTATTTTCAAACATTAGTGCTTTGTACATGATGAACATATAGATTACTTTGTAACCTACAACATATTACCAGGGAGTCTCGATGGAAGAATATTTCATGTGCAAAAGGACACAAAACTTAATTTTTTTTTTTTTTTTTAGATACATTTCACAAAATATTTCCTCATATATCACGGTGAAATAATTTTTTCCTGATATTGGTATAAAAGTGTTCCTTGAACATTCACGAACTCATATCTATGCGTAATGTCATAAAAAGTGTCCCCCCCCCCCCCCCCCCCCCCCCCCCCCCCCCATGATTGCAGCAAGCAGAAGTCCACATAGGTGTACCTGGGTGCTCATAAGGGACGTACCTCCCCAGGTGTTCAGCCATCCCATTAGGGATGGTCACCTAAACAAGAAACGTGCCTCTGGGAACAAAGGGAGACACTTATTTGCCACATCCAGTCACAGGAAGGGAATCCATAAGCCGTTTATCAAAATATACCTGTAATTTAGTGAATTGAGTGGCTTCTTGTAATGATGCTTATTTATATACGCAGGTGGGAAACAGAAAGCGCCGTCCTCGGATGTGTATCGTCACATGGCAGCCCCAACCAGTGCAGAGACGGTTAAGGTATGGAGAATTGAGCTTGAATAAACATTCGAGGGAAACGAGAAAAACTTCTGTAGAGTAAGAATTAAGTTTTTTTTATGAGATGTTGAAGGATTAATCGTTTCAAATTTTATTCACTACAGATTAAATTTGTATTTCGCTTAATTATTTATTGTAATTACATTAGTTATGGATTATTTAGAAAATTCCATTATCACCTAGATACTTAAAATAATAATAATAATTAATTACATAAATTTGATTTCATGTAATAACTTCATGGCTGTATTGAAATATATAATAACATTAGTAATTTTCCTTTTTGTTTTTCTCAGAACTTGTGCATTCTGGACGTGATTCCACTGGTGTCGCTGAATGATAAACAGATGAAGGAATACCTTGACACTCCACAGAGAGGTGAGGATGGGGAGAAGAGATAGTAGGATGAAAGAGCAGTACAGTAGATGACAGAAAAATTAAGAAAGAGAGAGGTAGGATGTAGAAAGGGGTAAAAGGGGCAAAAACTATGGGAGAAGAGGAACTGAAAAAGGAGGATAAATAACAGAAGAGGAAGATGAAGGGAATAGAGTTATTTATTGACTTATTTCTGGAGTGAATGGAAACAGGGTCTGGAACAATAGATCTAGAGAGCAGAATTGTGACAAGAAAACCTGTAACCAAATATTCGTATTACATTTTTGATACAGTAATGCAGGCCTGGATTTACTATGTTTAAAGCTATTATTTGGTGTTTTATATATGTATATGTAAGTTTTTTTTTCTTTTTCAATGTTTATGATTAGGATTCTGAAATTAATTCAGAATTTTTGGAGAAAGATAAAACATGTTGACTATATTGAGAATGTAAAAGAAAAAATATAGATACTGCATGTATTCTGAACAAAAAAAAACTGTGACTAACTTTTAGGTTGAAAGAGGGCAGGAGTGGGTTTATAGGCCTGCCGGATGGCCACCAGAAGGCCTAGTGGCTTGCACCTCACTCTCAAAATTTCCGTCTCCTGCCCAGAGAAAGGGAGACACAGGCAGGCAGAGAGATAGATGGATAGGTAGATGCCAATATAGGTACATAGGGAGATATATATGTAGCTATAGCTAGATAAGGAAATATATTGATAGAGATATATGTAGATAGATAGATGTAGATCTACAGGTATAGAAATATAAACAGGTATAGATATAGAAAGATAGGTGTAGATATAGATGTATGTAAATAGATATAGATAAATAAAAAAATAGGTATAGATCTCTGTAGATGGATTGATAGATAAAGATTGATATAGATCAATCAATGTAGATAGAGATCAATATAGATAGGTAGCTACGGGAACGTAGAGATACATAGATATGGACACAGACAGACATACAGATGGTCATTTTCACCATCTGTTCCTCTTGCCTGCAGGCATCGACCCGGCACTGTGGGAGCAGGGCAAGAGGGAGAACCCGAACCCGAAGAAATTCTTCCCTGTGGTCAAAGTTGGGTTCCAGGAGCTCCAGATGCAGTTCAAGTAGGTGTTCATGTGTGGTGTCCGCTGCCTTTCTTACTTTTTTTATTTCCTTACTTCTCTCTCTGTCTCACTGTTTTTCTCGCTCTTTCTCTAGCCCCTCTCCCTTCCCTCTCTCCTTCCTATGTTAGTCCTTTTTCTTCTTCATTTTCTTCTCAGTGATGGTTAGTCCTTATCAATTAAAATAAAAATAAAGGAAAGTATCTGTCCTTGTGCAGAGAACAGGAGCAGCACGCGGAGAAACTTCAGACCAGCATGAAGGAGATCACGGACGCCATCACGCAGCTCAAGCACAAGCAGGCCATGGTGAAGGCGGCTATCCAGAATGCCAAATGGAAGCAGGCTAACCTCATGAGGAGGGTGCTCAAGGTGAGGATGCGAAGGGGCCTAGGGCTGGCACGGAGGGAGGGTGGAGTGGCTTAGAGCTGGCTGGGGTTTAGGGGTGTGTGTAGGTGTTAGGGTTGTCTAAAACGGTGGTGAAGGAGTGTGTGAAGAGGATGTAGGAGTGGGAGGGACGAAGTGTGAAGGGTTGTAAGGCTGGGAGAGAGGGAGCATCTAGGTGTGTGTGGTTGTCTAGGGTTGTCTGAGTGTGGGTGAGTGGAAGTGAGGAAGTGTTTGGAAGTATGATCATCATTTTTATCATTAGTAACCCTGAAAGGTAGTATGTACATCTATACCATGGCATGGCTGGATTCATTACTAGGTGGCATGTACTTCTATGCCCTGTGCAGTCCAGCCTGGTCTGAGTTGTGTACACTAAATACTTATTTGCCTTTCTGGGAATGGCCATTGAGGAATTACAACCCCTTAAAAATTTGGCTTAATGTCTATTTTTATACCTCATAAAGTGGCTTTCATATACACTGCAACCAAAAATGTAGAAAGTGGGAAAAATGTGTTTCTTTAATTGCATTTTTTTTAATGGCTTACTGTACTTGCAGTACTCAGCATGCGTCTTGGTATAGTGCAGGGAAGACCTGTTAGTATTGAGTTACCTTCAATAATGGTGATGATCATTACCATCTTCATTATTGTAACCATCATCACCATCTTTATTGTTTTCACCATGACTATTCATTGTCATTATCCAGTTGTAACTGAAACCCTGGTCCCTTGTCCCTGGCAGTTGGTGTCGGCTCAGGAAGTGGAGCGCAAGAGAGGAGTCCCACTTGATCAGACAGAGGAGCAGATCCGCATGAGGCTGGAAGACCTATATGTCCAGCTTATGCAGCCCACGCAGTATAGGGTGAGTAGTTGTTGTGTTAAGTTTGATTTTGCTATTTTATGATTTTTTGTTGTTCGAATTCCTAGGCTCATCCAAAGATTTGTAAAAGTAGGTTTATAATTACTCAGAGGAAAAGATTTTGGTTCTCATCCAAATTATGCAGATTTTCTTCTTCTTTTTTGTTCTCAATTTGCGGCTCTTCTTTGTGGAGATGAATAACTGTTTATGTTCATCCAGAAAGCATAAAAACATTACTTGAATTATGATCGCTATCATGCAATTTTCCTTTTGTCTACAATTAACAAGTTCTTCCATTGCAATCTTCTTAATTCATAACTATGATTGCAATTTTCAGTCTTGACTATTTTGAAGTGCTTGTCTGACTCTTGCTGAAAATCCTATTCTGAGCCATTTGTCCTTCCATTGCCACCAGTAAGAATAAACTTTTTTTCCTCCTCCTGCACAGGGATGCCTCAATGAGCTCATGGCGCAGATGTCAGTGAAGCCATCTGGCTCAAAGGGTTGCCCTCGCTATGGGCTGGTGAACGACAAGGAAAAGGATATCTCGCAGTATATCTCATGGCAGCAAGAAGCACTCAATGCGGTCGTCATGGTCCTGAAGGAGGACCTGCAGATCGTAGACAGTATGGCAGAAGAACTACAAAGAAAGCCTTAGGGTTGGGAGTTAGCTAATCAATTTTTTTTTCTCTCTCTCTCTCTCTCTCCCTGCCTTTTTTGGGAGTCAGTCCCCCCCCTGCCCTATTATGTGAAATGTAAATATATTACTATGTGGCTTTTTCTTATAAAAAAAGTTAAGCTTGTTATGTGTCCAAAAATACTTAAGACAAGAAAAATTATATATAGTTGATAATATGCTAAATTTCCCAGTGCAGTTCAGTCAATTTTAATCATGAATGCCAGTGTTTTGAGCAGATTTTTATGTATTTTTTAAAAATATTTTTCCCAAGATTTAGAAACCATTTCTTATAGCTGTACAAATTTGGAACTGAAGGTGAATGGATATGATTATTTATTTAGTTCAGTCATAGATTATTGTTATTATTTGTCATACGGTGATTTAATCAAATAAAGAGGACATTAGATAATTTATACACAAAACTCTTGGATTTTTTTATGCATTTGATATCAAAAGATTTAGCTACTGGATAGAAGGAAGGAGAACATGCCACATAGAATTGTAAGATGTTTTATAAACACTCATTATCAATAATAAAATGCTTGAAAATCTGTGCATTTTACTTACCCTTTCTTGGTGCTTTTTTGCATTCAGGACTACATATATAACTAAGAATTTATAAAATGAAAGTATATCTGGTATTGTCTCCTTGTAGACAGACAGACACATATGTGCATGTGCATACATGCACACACACCCACATGCACACATGTAAGTATCCACACAGAAGGGGGAGGAAAAAGAGTACTCAAAAGGTTTGTAGTGGCAGAGGTAGTAGAAGGATAAGGGCAGGAGGAAGAGGGAGTGGTTTGTGGGGAGGACAATAAGGCAGACAATGAAAAAGTCTGTGCAAGAGGAGAAGGAGTAGAGGATGTTGGGAGACAGGAAGGAATGTATTCTAGAAATTGGGTAATGACCTGGGTAAATGGTAGCAGTAGGAGTGATCGGGAAAACAGAATTTTTTAATTCTGGGGGCTAGAATATAAAGCCTTAAAGAGTAGAAAATCTATATTATTAACTATGGCGAGCCT